TCCTGGAATTGAGTAGGTACAGTGCTGATGTCACTGCTTAGAGGATGCTGGGCATCTTTTTCTTGTCTGTCTTTGGCACCTTTCTCTGTATCACTATCACTTACATGCTCTCCATATTCCTCATCCTCATCATCTTCATCTTCTTCGTCTTCTTCATCTTCATCCTCTCCATCAGCAAACATCTTCATGTCTCCAGCCACGATTTCTTTTGTGCCAAATGTAAATTGGCCTAACATAGAACTTTTAGCACTGTGAGCAGAGATTAAGCTGTCTGTTGCATAATGGCCTGACTGTGATGCACCACCCTCTGCCAATCCACTGAAATCAGACTTTTCAAATTTAACTGAAAATGGGTCTCTCTCTGCTGAAAAAGATGGGTTTTTCACAGTTGTCTTTTCTTCAACTTCATTTATTTTCACAGAGAATGTTCCTTCGGATGTATCCTTTAACTGTGGTGTCCCATATATACTTTGTGTTTCACTATATAAAGTTGATGATGTTTCCTTTTCATCTGATGCTTTAAGGTCAGAAATCTTGCCAGTGGACGAATCTAGGGATTCCTCCTTTTCTGTTTTCTTTAAAGTAACATCAGTATCATCAAAAGTGTGCTCCGTTGGCAGATTTGGAGAGTAGGAATCCACTGAATTTGATTTACTGTCATACACATCAGAGTATGTAAAGCTTTTCCCAACATAGGGTGTATCTTGCCTAACCACCCTCTCAAACTCACCTTTGAGGCCCTTCTCACACTCAGGGAAGGAATACAAGCTGAAGTGAACACTTTTATCGCTGTCCTTAGAAATCACTTTTGGGTCATCTATCTCTGAGAATGACGCATCTTTTTTGCCTTGGCTTGCTGACATGGAATCTAACTTGCCCTGTGGTACTTTTATGCTTGAGTAAGTACCATCCTCAGTTTCACTTTCATCTTCCTCTCCTGAGCTGAGCATCTGGGATTTGCACTCATGGCCCAAGTAGGTCACATTTTGTGGTTTATCTTCCTTATCCATAGATTCTTTCTCATTTTCAAACTGCTTCTCCTCTTTTAGGGGTGATGTCTCTTCAGAGTTTTCTTCATCAAGAAAATTGCACTCCCTCTCCTCTTTGTATTTAGTTTTACCACACACGTTATAGCTTCCTTTTCCATAATAATCCTCTTTATCTTCCTCTTCATCCTCTTCTGAGTCATATAATGCAGGTTTCGTGCTGGAGAATTCCTTTCCAAAAGGATCCACTTCATCATCAATTATTTTCACACACTTTTTGTCAGCAGGAACCTCTTGGGCCAAACACATCTGAGAATCAAAAGTCTCCTTATCTAGTTTTTCCTCTTTGTCCATAATCAGTGGCTTTTGTGGCCTCTCCTCAGTGGGAGAGTAGCTACTGCTGGTCGGTCCTGATTGTGTAGGTGAGGCGAACCTCACAGTGCTGTCATCTGGGCTGAGGCATCTTTCTTCACTCTCTGAAATAATACTTGTCTCTGAGGTGCAAGGCAAATTTGATGAGAAGGACAAACTTTTCTCAAAGGTGCCCAATTTAGATTCATCCTTAGAGAGTGAGATTTCCTTTTCATCTTTTTCTTGTGTGCTAACATACATCATCTGAGGAGAAATAGGTGCTGTTGATGTGGGAAATTTATTAGAAGCTTGTTCAGTGTCTTGGAGCATGGCAGCAGATGCATAACCCTCATGGATCTTTCCAAGTGGCATATCAACATTCGGTGTCTGATCCTCATCTTCTTCCTCATCTTCTTCATCCTCATAATTTGTGGGAACAGTAGCCTTCACTGCATTTTCTGTTTCTGGCACAATGGGTTGATATTCTTCTGAAGGAGGTGATTTAAAACACTTATCCTCCTCTAAGGAAGAAGTTGGAGAAATAGTTCCAGCTGAGTGGAGGTACTCCTTTCCTTGAGTGGCATCTGTCTGTACAAATGATGGTATACTATTTACGGTATCTAAGTATAAAGAGCTTTTCCCTGCATCTTCAGTAGGTGGTGCTGTCACGGATGCTATAGACTGATCTTCAGTAACAGATGTTGCAAAAGATGATAATTTGTCATATTCAGTTATGGATGTGGCTGATGATATATGCTCTTCTTCAGCCAATGGAGCCACAATTATATTGGTTGCGTAAGCTGATAGGACTGGCTCCAGGTCTACTGCAAAACCCTTTGATGATAACTCAGAAGCAACAGATATGGTTGGTGGTTTCATGCCATGAATGGTGTCAAAAGTCCCTGGTTCATCAGGAACTGAGATCTCATAAGAGCTGACATCATATTGAAGATGTGGCATTCGCTCCTCTGTTTCCTCATTAATCTCTTCATCAGAAATGGTCTGCTCTGTCTCAGAGTAACCTGGAATGGTTTCATCTTGGATGAAAGACACATGCTCTGCAGCACCCAGAGGTTTGGCAGATTTAATGTCACTTTGTTTTGTCTCCCAGTCCTTTCCAAGTTTTTCTTTCCTAGCCTCATCAGATTTGTACTTGAGCTCCTCTTCATGCACTAACTCCTCTGCCTCCTCTAGCTCTGCTTTCTCAATCACATCCTCTTCTTCTTCACTGTCACTCTTTTTAGGTTTCATTTCAAGCTCTTTCTCTTCTTCTTTTGCTTTTTCTTGCCATTCTTTATTTTCGCCCATCTCCAAAAAGTCAGATGTTGTAGCACTTTTCAGTTTTGTGGTATAGTCATCCTCTATGTCATCTTCTGTAGTAGCACCTTCATTCTCAAATCTATCAGTGGTTTTAGAGTGGGATTTAATTTCGTTTACTCCATATGGTACCCTTTCCTCATGAGGGGACTCTGTCTCAACATCTGTTGTAGTTATTCCTTCATCAGGAGATTCAATGTGAGGGACAACACTGTCCACTGCAGACTGAAAATTTGGGAGTACTTTGCTCTCTGTGAGCTTGGAAAGCTCCTCCTCCAGTTGCAAGGCTTCAAAATCCTTGGTAAGATCTTCTGGGGAGGAGACTAAGGACCTGACACTCTCCTTTTTCTCTACTGAAGCTTGCTTAGCAGCTGGCCTGTTTTCTTGCTCTTTTGCAGCTTTATTTTTTTCTGTTTTAGGCTTTACTTGAACCTTTGCTTTGTTCAGAGTCTTCCGGACCTCAGGGGTGAAGGGCTTTAAGTCAGGTTTTGTGATTTTTCTCAACTCTGGCTTAATTTTTTCTTTTTCTTTTTTCTTCTCCTCCTTACTTTTGAGTTCTTTTTTGACGTCCTCTTTTTTTACATCTGTTTTTTCTTTCTTTGTGTCTTTCTTTTCCTGATCTTTCTTCTTCTCCATCTTAGATGCTTTCTCCTTGATATGTTTTTTAGGAGACTTTTCTCTCTGCAGCTTCTTTTTCTCCTGCTTACGTGAATCGGGTGATGCTGTCTTAGGTTTAAGTTGTTTGGGAGTTTTAACAGCCTCTTTTATTTTCTTATCTTTCTTTTCAACTTTGTTCTCTTTTACAGAGTCACTCTTTGACTCAATATCTTCATTTGCCTCTTTCTTGCTTGCTTTTGTAGTGGAAGACATTTTAGGGGATGATTTAAGACTTTCTTTGCTATCAGTTCTCAGCTTCATTTTAGTTTGTTTAATCAGTGGAGGTGGAACTCCAGATGACATGTCCTTTTTAGTGGCTACTGGATATCGCAAGAAATCTAGATGCCTCAGCTTTTCCAGACCCTCAAATATTTTGTTTTGTGGGGCATTTCCAGGAAACAGTACTCTGACAATCTTTTCTGTTGGACTGGCAGGTACCCACACAACCAGAGCTGTCACTGATGTGAGGTAAGGAACTGAAATCTCACCCTCTTTGCCATTGGCCAGGACAATGCCAGTCTTAGCTTTACTGTTACCAGCCCACTTCTGCATGAAGAATTGCATTTCCTTACTGTCCTTGAGAGGATTTAGAATATACATGTCAAGTTTGCCAACACCCAACTTGTGAAAGAGTGTTAAAGGCTCAATTGTGTTGCTCATAACTCTGTATAGAGGCTCAGGTTTGATGCCCAGTTTGTGAAGGTACTGCAATGTGAGAGAGGCCTCCTCAATGCTCCTCTTTGCTTTCAGCGTGGATTCAGGTACCTTCAGCTTGTCTGGAACATTAAAGAACACAACACCAAGTTCTGGTGAGATCAGGTTTTTCATCCAGTCTCCATAAGTATTAGAACCACGGCTCTTCTCTTCCTCCTGCTCTGCTATTTTTCTCTGTAACAGTCCATTTATACCAGCGAGATTATCTGCTCCTATGTGGGTAAGGAGAACAGAATCAATCCTATCCAAATGTCTGACCAGCTTCCAGAAGCAAGATTTTCTGTCTGATCCACCATCGATTAAAATATTAAAACCACTGACTGCAAACAAAGCAGAGTCGCCCCGTCCTCCAGGAAAGATATAGCAGCATGGTTTGGACAACTTCAGGAACCCTCCTGAGGTTGGTGGTTCCAGGAGCTCAAAAGGAGAGGGAACATCCACTGTCTCAGAGACATATTCTGTAAACTCGCTCACCCCTTCCATCTCAGGCAGCACGGGCTCTGGGTTCAGTCTGTACTTGAGTATGCTCTGTTCCTGTACGTACCCTAGGGAGCTCCAGCCCCCTTCTCCTTTACAGGACACAGTCAAACAGGCTTGCTGACTTGCAGATGGCTGGTTTAAGAGATCTTTAATCTACAGAGAATAAAATCAAAATATTTCTTAAAGTTCAATAAAAAAATTAAAAAATGTAAAGTGCTGTGAACTATTATGGGACCTATAATGGTGTAGTAGCCACTTACCCTACAACTTGAGAGAATGTCAGATAATTTTTTCCAACCAAACACTCCACTTTGCAGGATAATATCACTGCTCTGTTCAGTACTTTGCCCACTTAGGACCAATAACTTATGTCCTGCTGAGTCACAGAGCAGTGTTCTGAACTATAAAAGAAAGAGAATGCATTTACTGTTATATTTGACATATAAAATGGTTATATGGTTGCATGCAAATAAAAAATTTGGGAGAACTTGGAGAGGTAAAAAAACACAATGGTTTATTTATAGTTACCTCTATAGCAATATTCTCCTCAGAAGGATTCACCAACACAACAGTCTCAAGGACATCACTCTTGTATTGCAAAAGTCTCTGTCCTAAAAAAAAATTTAAGTTTTAAAACACTAAATGCTTAATATGGCATACGGCATATTTACTTTCAATATTATTTATTTCAAAGATTTTGTTAAAGCATTTTATACTGTGAAAAATCAGAGATAAAACCTGGCACCCTATTGGGATGATGCAATCACTGCCTTCATGCATTTCATTACTGTTTATTCACTATTCTTTGTCTCTTCCTGCTGCTGTGCAAGAGTACACTAATCCCGTGAAAGCAGTCTTCTCAATTCCATGCAATCAAAACAATATTGCAAAGCTTCTGCAAGCAAATCTATTGCCTGTTGCCATGGGGATAGTGAGCTGGCGATTGCCGGCAGCTTACAATATTATTTATTTCAAAGATTTTGTTAAAGCATTTTATACTGTGAAAAATCAGAGATAAAACCTGGCGCCCTATTGGGATGATGCAATCACTGCCTTCATGCATTTCATTACTGTTTATTCACTATTCTTTGTCTCTTCCTGCTGCTGTGCAAGAGTACACTAATCCCGTGAAAGCAGTCTTCTTAATTCCATGCAATCAAAACAATATTGCAAAGCTTCTGCAAGCAAATCTATTGCCTGTTGCCATGAGGATAGTGAGCTGGCGATTGCCGGCAGCCACGTTACACTGACCTAGTCTTGGTGCTGCGCGACGCATTGCAGCATTTCTGAAAAGGTGAAAAAATCCTCTCTCTAGCTGAAAATGTAAATCCAGCATTGTACAGTTGAAACATACAAACAAGTCTATGACCCTGTGCATTATTAGGCTATAATAAGCCTAAACCTCTCATTGGCTGTTTAAAGGTCACTTTCTATAGGATATTTATAGGGTCATTTTCACAGCAGTGAGAAAGGAACAAGGGTGTTTGGACTTAAATAGCACACTGATGATTTAAAGGCACAATATGTAAGATTTTTTTATTAAAAAATCCAAAAACCACTAGAACAGTGTTATATATTTTGCTGACTTTTGTACTTACATTATCCAAAATGTTTCAAAGAATGTTTAAATCCAGAGAAATAAGCAATTTTAACTAGTGACTCGGACCGTGTCTATAGTGTCATTGTGTCGCCTGCCAATGACGTCATAACTAGTGGTCGACCGATATTGGTTTTTTGACAGCCGATGCAGATATCTTGGAAAGCAGGGTGGCCGGTGGCCGATATAAAGCCGATATAAATGTATTTATTTTAATTCATATTTAAGAAATTTTTAATCATTTGACAATGGATTAAAAAATAAATTTGTAAAATAAACATACTTATACTTTAGATGACAACGTATTTTCCACACATAAATAAATATTTAATACAAATATAATTAAAAAGGTAGTAAACTGTAACCAACAGAGCACTCAGTATTCTGGGAAATTTGTGTGCATTGGGAATCATATTTTTTCCAAATAAAGCCAAGGTAACACTCATTTTACATACAGCACACAGTGAAAATGACATGGCGAACAAGGAGAATGTGAGCACTGTGTGCTCAGGCGCTGCCGCACTCAGCGCCGTCAAAATAAAAGTCCCGCCTAGAACGCATCGGCTAAACAGAAAAACTTATCGCCCGATGCCGATCTTTTAAAAATGCCAAATATCGGCCGATATATAGGCCTTGGCGATATATCGGTCAACCACTAGTCATAACCCCTCGATTTCCGATTTCATTGTAGAAAACACGGAAACACCAAAGACGCTATAATATGTTGTGTGTTTTAATAGACCGGTGACGACCGCACAGAGTAGCATTATAAGATAACTTTCAAATGTATCTAGTATGATAAAACAGCGCTGCTTTTTTTCCCCCACATACTCACGACCGGAAGGAGCGGAAGCGGTCGACTGTGGCATAATAAAAGCTCCGCTGCTTTCGAGCCATGCGTCACGCTCGTTCAGCGGCCTAGTTTCGCTTCGACGGCTTTCAGCTTCACACTGCTTCATTCTACTACGTTAATAAATCATTAGCTCATCCATGAACATGATTTCTGCCCGAGTCCCGTCGGATTGCATCGGCTGTGGGGATGAAGACGACAACTCCCATGATTCAACACTCAGTCACGGCGTCATCAAACTACGCCTTTGTTTCTTTGTTTATTTTGAATACCTTTAACTAGCCTTCTCACACTCTCAGTAGCGTAATGTACATAGCATGATAAACATGTGATGAGCTTGAAAAATTTACTTTTCAATTTACTTGTCTGGACAAACTACCACAAAATAAAAAAAGATATATTTTACATGTAATGAGTCTGATTTTAGATAGGCTACATGAAAAAAAAAAAAAAACTGAACAAACCAGTGTGGATCAGATAGTAGTTTGAAATGGAAAAAAAATATGAATAAGCAAAATATTTTTGGTAACACTTTATTTTAAGGTGTCCTTGTTACATATGTTACATGTACTTACTATTATAATAACAATTAATTATGCATAATTACATGCAAGTAACCCTAAACCAAACCGTAATCCTAACCCTAACCATGTAGTTGTCACGGGCAGGGTGTTACAGAGATCAGGCAGGACGACGAAGATGCCGAATAAAAGGATATTTAATGATATAACAGGAGATCCAGACAGGGTAGACATCAACACACAGGGTAACATTCACATTCAGGGTAACATTCACAATAACCGACCAACTCGAATACAAGAGACAGGAACAGATATAGGGCAGATAACGAGGGGCAGACAGGTGAGCACAATGAGGTGATTAACTAATAACGAGAACAGGAACAACCAAATAAGGACACAGAGGGAGAAACCACAATCAAACAGTCCACAGGGGTGTGACAGATCGCAACCCTCCTGGAAGGCGCGACCTCACGCCGTGGAGACAGAGGGAGGGACGGAGGGGGACAAAGGAGTGGATGTGGGATGGAGACAGGGGAAGGCAAAGGGCTGGCAGGCAGACATGATAGGCGTAGGCTCCGGCAGAGGACAGATAACCGGGAGGAGGCCGGCAGACAGAGACCAGGGGGGCGACGAAGGAGGGAGGAGCCAGGGAGGAGACGGGAGGGACCTGGAGCAGGAGGAGCTCAGCAGG